CACATGGGTTCACGTTGTCCGATATCAAAAAGATAATTCTCACGCATTATCACGGAGATCATGCGTGCGGTGCCGCACGAATACAAGAGGCCGTCGGCTGTGACATTTATGCTCCTTCGCCGGAAGCTCTCGCCATTCAAACGGGAGACGAAATTGCCACAAGCGTCGGTCCGTCTAAAGGCGGCCTATACCCTGCAGATTTTACATATCCCTCATGCTCATCGGTAACAGGGCTCAAAGACGGTATGACCATTACTTTAGGAACGGTAACTCTAACAGCGTATATGATACCTGGACACAGTCTATGTGGCATGGCGGTTTACGGCATAATCGACGAGAAGAAGTGTATTTTCACCGGAGATAGTGTGTTTGCCCACGGGCAAGTGCTGATCCAGCCTTTGTATGATGTAAGTCTTCACCCATACGCATCCGCTATGAAAAAGTTGGCCGAGCTTGAAGTTGATGCTTTCTTTCCTGGACACGGTGTATTTGTTCTGGAGCACGGCGAAGACCACATCAGGCGCGCTTCCGATAAATTTCAAAGCGGCCTGATCCCTCCGCAACTGTATTACTTTGCCTGAAATGCATTACCAATTTGCGTCTAGATGGAAGGCGGTCTCACGTACGGTCATATTGACCTAGTGTCGCGAATAGGCGGTGATGTCGTGTACCGGTGAATCCTTTTTCTCATCTGGCAAAACATAGTCGAGCAAAAACGAAAGATCAAATGTCATAACAAAAACCGCAAGGAACTTCCTTTCTCAGGATGTTATGCGTGATGTTTTGATGCAAAGTGTTTACCTCGGTTCATTATGGTTGCTCATATTCAATAATGAAGCGTAGCAGCTTGTTTTTGCCACTCAGCCGCGGACTACCATCATCTACGCATAGGTTGTCGTCATCATCGACAGAGGCAGTGTGCAAGAATAAGATACGCGCACATGTTCTGCATTCAGCAAGATTTGCGCTCCCGTTCCGACGCATTTGCCGTTTTACGGGAAACATCAGG